AATAAAGTGGCTTATAAAGCTTGTTACTTCAGACAATATTGAGGAAATCCTCACAGGATGCATATATCCTAATAAGATACTGATCATTTGCAGTCTTAAATATCAATGGAAATATACAAGTAAACAACACCAAGTGAATACAGTTTAATACTAGTTTGCTAATCTCTTTGAATAGTGAACATAAATACATACAAATGATTTAGTTTAGTAAGTACGTCAGGAACATAAAAACAACTGTCTTTATTTCTAACTTGAACTCATCTATATAACGTATTGTAACTAAGGAACCATGGGCAGATCTCTTGTCATGATATATAGACTTCTTTCAAGATTTTTAATTTTTTTGTTATGGTAAATCAACACTTTTTGAATGAAAAACTCCAGCTGATAAGAAACTTGGTTTTCACAAAGCAGTCTGATTGAATATCTGGGCTACCTGTTCCTGTCATCTGGATATTTCAACAAGTTGCCTGTTTCTTTGTTTGTTTTCTTCACACATCATTAGACCTATTAATCTCATAATCTATTCAGGTACGTTTGTGAAACGTTTACGACATTTCACTGTATAACTTACAAAACAGCTCAATCAGAGATATCGTGGTTGCTGGCAATATGCATCGAAAAGAATATACATTATTTAGATGTCGATTGACAGAACTGTCAGCATCTAACTGGCGACCAGTCAATATTTATCCCATGGATGAATCAAGCGATAAGAAAAGGAAACTTGTTGAAATACACTATGCTGAGAATTCTACATTGTACCGAAAGTACAATATTGAATAAAGCCGTTAATAATAATAATAATAATAATAATAATAATAATAATAATAATAATAAGTTTCTTGGCCATAGAACGAAAGATCAGTTTACTTAAAATGTTAATGGAAATCGCAAATGTGGAAGGCATATATTATATCCATAGAGTGTTAGATTACTGATGTGTATTAGTAACTAAATATTTCCCATGGAAACATAACATGTAATTAAAAAGTAAAATGAGTATTTGTGTGATGAACACTACCCTAACAACATGCAAATGGATGATTGAAGGCTAAGTATACATATTATATATATATATATATATATATATATATATATATATATATATATATATATATATATATATATATATACTGATTTCTCAGAATTAACAGTGATATCTTATGTTCACTGTCTTGTTTAACACTAAGTGTTCATGATTTCACATTATGAAGCAACTTGTTGTAAATCATAATTCCTTATACTTTGAATACTGTTGAGGAGTCCTATGGTGGTACAATACAGGTTTCCACTGGTGATCTATCTATGATCTGTTTTGAAGTTATATAATAAATTTAGGAAGGTTAGAGCACCATTGAAAATCTGGAAGCACTGGACGGACGTTTCGTCTTAGTATGGGACCCCTCGGCAATGCACAACAAACACCCGCACGCGGGATTCGAACCCAGGACCTCCGGTCTCGCGCGGGAATGCTTAACCTGTAGACCACTGAGCCGCCACCCGATGGTATTAATGTCTAGCTTCGACTCAGGTGGATGTGTCTAGTGGTTAAGCGCTTGCGTGCAAGACTGATATGTCCTGAGTTTAAATCTCACGAGGAGGGATCGTGGATGCGCACTGCTGAAGAAACGACCGTTCAGTGCTTCCAGGTTTTCCATGATGGTCTAGTTTCAACTGACTCATGAATTCGATTATTAAGTGGTTTGATTGAATATAATAAATTTATTGATCTGTCTATAATTCATTTAATTTAGTTATTTAAAAAATTTCAACTATTCTGATTGTTAATCAATAAATCAATAATCAATGTATTGTAGTAAAATATTCCAGTTTTCTACGATTGTTTCTTATCAAACAAAAAGTACCCCCTCCCAATAATAATAATTGTGTTTTAGTTACTGTAGAGTAAAGATTTAGATTATATCTGCTAGTAGAATTTTATATTTTCATTTGTACAATGTTAATTATTATCTGTGAGGACGGTTTACGAGTGAACTCAAGGAAGTATAGTGTACGGATTGCCTCGATATTGCCTTAGGTCATCAGGTTTATCAGGAGTCAGTAGATAAGTGAAAAGAGCTGTACTGGGTTCGAGTCTCAGAGTGAATGTCAACTCTCAGATGCGGGTACATTCAGCTGATGAGTTCCAAATAAGACCAAACGCGTGTCCTGAATTACACTGCTAGTCACCATCCATCTTTGCTTATAATGCTATTGAATTAATGCATATATGCCAATAACAGACTGATCAAATGCAATCCTAAACGTCAATGGGAAGATTCAAATAAACAATACTAAATTAATTTAAGCTTCACCCTATTGCATATGCAAGTGGCTATCAGGACTCGGTAACCAAGTGGATAACGCGATGGTGTTTAAAGCGGACGGTGATGGGATTGAGTTCTAGAGTGAACACCAAATGTGAGATGCAGGTACATCCACCTAATGAGTCCCGAATAGGACGAATCTTGCGTCCTGGGTTCCCCTACTAGCCACTATCCATCTTTGCTTATAATTACCTACAAACTGTTTTTTAATTTCTGCTATAACAGTTGAATTTATGATTCGATGTAAGCTAGACCATCATTGAAAACCTGGATGCACTTCACAGCCGTTTCATCGTAGTATAGGACTCCTCAACAGTGCACGTTAAACGACCTCGCATGCGGAATACTAACCAAGGACCTTTCGTTTCGCGCGCAAACGTGTAACTTGTAAGCCCATGGGCCGACATCTAATGGTGGTAATGTCTAACCTCTATCGGTCCATGAATGGCTACGCAACTATTCATACATTGTCTGAGGTAGACACCTGTCTCGTCCCGATACGGATTGAACTCCATTGATCATGGCTTCTCACCTGAACTCCAGTAAATCATCTTCAAGTCAGTCAATAATATGCACACGATGATTATGATTAGAATGGGCTTTATAGAGATTGTAGTAATTTTAATAGTTTAATTCATTAGCCGTTGTAAGCTAGACCACCATGGAAAACCTGGAAGCAGTGGATGGCAGATTGGTCCTATTGTTGGACTCCTCCTTCGAAGTATGCATCTACAACGATGATCTCTAACTATTTAGATAAACAACATATCCCTAACAGAAATGTATATCATTCAATATGATTATTAATTTCTCCCTATTCATAGTATTTAACTAAAATAATAGTAATAATATTGATATACAGTTGATTGAATAATAGTGATTGATTGATGAGAACTAATGAGAGAAATCTGAATCGAAATGCTGGTTACATTGAATAAGTAATCAACTTCATATGAATTACAATAGAGCTCTTAACATTCTGTGAGATTGATAATTATGAGATATGGTAGGTGTTTTAACTTTAAGCTTGTCTAGTTGTCACCTGATTTATTCGCTAAGCAAAATATGACTTATTTAATCTTAGTACTGTGCCAAACCAATGACATTCGACCGGTATGAGTAGCCTAGAGTCTTTATTAGTCCTTTCTTTTTCTAACCCGTTCAATTGAGTCCAGAACGCCAATAACAACTTCCACTATGTGAATCATTAATTTTAAACATACCAACTAAACAGACCACATCATACCATAAAATAGGAAATAACATTTATACAAGATCAAGTCAAAAAAATGGCTGTGAACGGAGGAGACTGTAATCAATAAACTGAACATAACTTAAGAACAGTAAATCGTACAATGGGTTACAATGGGTCAAAATGAAGCATATAATAAGAGAAATATGAATATACATAATCTGATAGATTGATTTTTTTTTAACTCAAGAAATGCAATCAAAAACATGTTCAACTCATATATAATTTTAAAAGGGATTTTGTAGATATTATATAGTAATTTTAAGTACTGGACATCCAATGCTTTCAGATTTTCCATAGTGGTCTAACTTCAACTAACTTATGATCTCAACTATTGAAACTTATATATAATTATTACAAAATAATAGTTAAGTGCTAATGTTTAAGCGCTCGCGCGCGAAACTAGTAGCTCCTTGGTTCGAATCCCTCAGGTGGCGAAGTCGTGGATGCGCACTGCTGAGGAGTCCCATAATAGAACAAAACGGCCATCCAGTGCTTCCAGGTTTTTCATGGTGGTCTAGCTTCAACTGACTCATGACTTCAACCAGTGAGAATTCTATATTTGTTAGGTCATGATAAACATTATGAATGATAACTGTTGGGATCCATTTATGGACCAATACTATACGTATATTCTTATTGTACAATTGTTAAGTAACTAAACCATTCATATACGTATTCCTCTTATCATAAGCTCTATTTTCACCTATAAACTAATATTACACCATTTACCATTCTTGAGTTATGCCCTGTCTATCAATTACTGTCTCCCTCATTCACAGCCACATTTGACTAAATCTTGTACAAATGTTTATTTTCTATTTTATGGTACGATGTAGTCTGTTTAGTTGGTATATAAACCCCAGTATGTTTGGCATACATGATTCCTATCGAAGAGGCTGAGATTGGTGTTCTGGACATAACAGGTAGGCAGAGCTAGGCTGGAAGAAGTACTCTAGACTGATCATACGAGTTTTAGGCGTCATTGATCCGATCGATAATTCACTGCTCTCTAATTGGCGGTATCGTTACATTATACATTAACAGGGCACACAGGCCACAAGTTATAACAGCAATCTCTTATCATTTATTTACTACAGACAATACAATAATATTTATTCTCTATAAATTGTTAGTTAATCTTATGAAAATATTCTTCATCAATCTAAATGTAAATATTTAAGTTAAATATGTAACGTTTATGATTGGTAAATTTACATTATAGACAGTGATTATATAATCGAGGGTAAATATGTATGTGAGTGATTGAGTGAATGAGTGAGTGTGTTTCCTTACATTAGACATGAATCACACATGATTAACCTTATAGTTGAACCTGTCAAATAATACTGTGCAATCAATCAATAAATAATAGATAGATAGATAGATAGATAGATAGATATGTAGATAGATAGGTAGGTAGATAGATAGATAGGTAGATAGATAGATAGGGAGATAGATAGATCACCAATAGTGTAGTATTGTTTGTTGGATTTAATAACTTTTATATAAATATTAACAATAACACCAATTTCATATATTATAACACCATTTATATTATCTTATTGTTATCTTTACTAGAGAAATAACTATAAAAGCAATAACGTGATTTCTTTCTTCTTTTTTCTTTTTTTCGATAGTTTTGATTTGTTATCTTTTTTGTTTACATCCAAAAAAAATACAAAAAAAAACGAAAAAAAAATTGTATTTTGTTTTACACCATGTTATGTGGTTACAATCAACATCACATTATTTATAAAAACACACACACACACACGCAATACATACATACGCACATGCATACATACCTACCGACATAGATCCATATATATATACACACACACAAGATGAATATATCATAGAATATTGGAATTTATCATTAAATTCCTTCCGAGATAAATTATATTTTATTACTAATATCATATTTTTTTTCATTTTTTTCTGTTTTGTTACCATGAGCACTATGATGCCAAATATAGATTAGTTGTCATATCATAATAATAATATTAATACATATTCAAATAGAATACAATACATGTATTTTGATTTTGTTTAGTTACTATGTTTGTACATAGATATTACAATTTATGTAAGTGAATAAGTGAACCAATGTCTGGATCCATCTATCTCTCTATATATAAATAACATTATAGTATCTAAATGAATATGTATCATTCATAATTACTTACTTAGCTGTTATTTAATGATTCATCTATAAAACTCATTTAAGTAATATATCTAAGTAATAATAATAATAATCAGTTATCATTTATTAATTTAAATAAACAAACAAACAAAAAGAAAACGAAATATAAAAAAAAAGAAAAGGAAGGAAAAAAAATCAATTTTCAATTATTCAATTATTTATTGTTTTATTTATTTACTTTTGAATAAACAAAAAGAAAAGAAAAGAAAAGAAAAAAAAGCAAACAGAACAAATTTCATAAATATGGATTCGAGTCCTGATGGTAAGTAAATTTCCTTTTTTATATTTTTTTATAATAAATTTATTGTTATAAAATGGATTGAGTTTTTTTTTCGATTTATTATGAAAAACTGAAAGTTAGATATTAACACTCGTTAAATGTCGGATGGCTTAATGATCGAGTGGTTAAGTGATCGCTTATGAGATTGATAGGGTCCGGGTTCGAATCTCATGAAGTGTGATGGTGGATTCGCACTGATGAGAAATTTCAAAGTAGAACAAAACGGCTGTTTAATGCTTCCAGGTGTTTCTATGGTGATCTAGTTTCAATTGATTCACGATCCCAACCATTGAAATTATTATAATATACACAAAATACCCTCTTCTGATACTAATAAACATATACGCTCTAATGACTGGCTTCAATAGGAATTTCCTGAATTTCTAGTGAGAAGGACTGACCAGTGAAGTTCAAACGGATCTGTTGTGAGATAGTAATTTAATGAAAACAATGGTGGGTATGTGGCTCAATTTCGTGAATTAGTTGAAGTTAGATATTAACACCGTTGGATGTCGTCCGTCTCAGTGGTCTAGAGGTTAATTGTTCGTGCGTGAGACTGACAGGCTCTGGGTTCGAATCTCATGAGACGGGATCATGAATACGGTCATCCACTGCTTTCACATAATCCAGCTCTAAACATATAAGAATTTTATTTGATAAGATAATGCAAAACATTTTAAATGAAATTAAGAATCGATAGATGATGAGATCATCATTGAAAAATTGAAAGTATCGAATAGACGTTTCATTCTAATATGAAATTCCATAATACTGTACATTCATTATCTTATATGTAGGATTCGAACTCAGAACTTTAGGTTTTATGTGATAACTTGAAAGCATTTATCAGATTCTACTTATGAAGTTACATCTTTGCTATACTATAGTAATGTATCTTTAATATAACTTCCAACTAACCTCTTTCATGTAAATAATTTAAACTCACTATATAATTATGATTTTATCTATCAGAGACTTTAATCAGCTGATGAAGATCAAACGAAATAAGACGAATTCATGATATTCTGTTAGGATCTTCAAATGATTATATAATCATATAATCATTTTAATATTGAATAGGTTCTATTATGTTACAGAATTTATAGTTTATAATGGTTTATCGATAGTTCACTTATGGTTGGAGACTTTTGGTGACATGTCACAGAATCGGTCACAATAGCATCGGTGTATATAATCATTGTCTTCCCTTAAGCTATTAAGATTGAAATTGCTTTATATCTTTTTAATTCTTTATTCCTGTATTATGTCCTTATACACAATCTTTCTTGTATATATTACCACCATTGAATTCACTACTTCTATGTATCCGGTGTTAATCATGTTGTGCTAATGAGATATGGCAATTTGAATCGATGCATATATTTGCCTAGTCCTATGTTGTAGCTGACTGAATGACTGACAAAATGAATATAGTAATCATATTAAACATTTCTGTAATTATACTACTATTACTATTTATTCATAAGAAAAGAAAAAAACACAAAACATAACAGATAATACATTTGGTAATTGTTTACTGAAATCTTCTCATTGATGTTTAACACTGAAATTGATCAATCTCTCTCTTATTGGTATATGTGTATCTTGTGTCTCAAAATTGCCTTCCATTGCTAGCCATCATCCATCTTTGCTTATAATGCTTGTGAATTATATGAATATCTAGGCAATAAGCACGAGATGCACATATGTCATTAAGAGACTGATCATTTGCAGTCCCAAACATCAATGGGAAGACTCAATCACTTGATAAGAAAATGAATTAAACTTCACACAATCACACAATCTAGTGGCTAACAGGACTCAGTAACTAAGTGGATAACTTGGAGACGTTTGAACTGAACGGTACTGCGTTCAAGTCCCAGATTAAACATCAAATCAAAGGGATGTAGGTACATTCACTTGATGAGTCCCGAATAGGAAGAAACTTGCGTTCTGAATCTCACTACTAGCCATTATTCATCTTTACTTATAACAGATAATAATTTATCACATATTAAAAGTAGATTATGACTAATTTATCTAAGTATCTAAATACACACATCATTATATTGATTTAATTTATATTGATTAATGGCTCAATCTTTGAACCAACCGTAATTGATTTGATTTTATAAATGATTAATCGATAATTCAATATTAATTGATTTATTAAATTAAACATGAGATAACTTACTTATTTTGAAACAATTAACCCATATCTATCAATGATGAATATGTATTAATTGATGGTTTGGATTATTCGAATCATTGTTAGAAATTTATAAAACTAATTAGTGTATGGTAATAAATATATACATATATGAAAGGGGTTTTTGTGGATAGTATAGTGATTTCAATAGTTGAGATAAGCAGTCAATTGAAACTAGACCATCATGAAAAACATGAAAGTACTGGACAGCCGTTTCGTTCTAGTATAAGACTCCGCCTTGGAAGTGCGTATCTACAATCATGCGTCATGAAATACGAACCCATGATCTATCAGTCTCGTGTGTGAGCGCTGAACCACTAGACCACTGAGCCGGCTAGCATCCAACGGTGTTAATGTCTATCTTCAACTAATCCACGAAATCGCTCTACTATTCATCATTATCATCAGTGAGTTACTATCTCACAACAGACCCGGTTGAAATCCACTGGCCACTACTGCTCACTAGAACTCTAGGAAATGCCTGTTGAAGCCATTTACTATTGACGATATGTTAAGTAGTATCAGAAGGGGTATTGTTGTGAATATAATAGTAATTTTAATAGTTGAGATTGTGAGTTAATTGAAGTTAGACCACCATGAAAAACCTGGAAGCAGTGGATGGCAGTTTCGTTTTGTTGTGGAATTCCTCCTTGGAAGTATGCATCCACGATGATGATCTCTAACTATTTAGATAAACAACATATCCCTAACAGAAATGTATATCATTCAATATGATTATTAATTTCTCCCTATTCATAGTATTTAACTAAAATAATAGTAATAATATTGATATACAGTTGATTGAATAATACTGATTGAATGATGAGAACTATTGAGAGAAATCTGAATCGAAATGCTGGTTACATTGAATAAGTAATCAACTTCATATGAATTACTATAGAGCTCTTAACATTCTGTGAGATTGATAATTATGAGATATGTTAGGTGTTTTAACTTTAAGCTTGGCTAGTTATCACATGATCATGGAAAACCTGGAAGCACTGGACGTCTGTTTCTTCCTATTGTAGGACTTCTGCTTGATAGTGCGCATCCACGACTGTTGGATATCTGTTCAATGGTCTAGTGGTTAAGCTTTTGCGCGCAACTTTGTCAGGTCCTGGGTTTGAATCGCACGAGGCAGAATCATAGATGCGCACTACCAAGTAGGAGTCCTACAACAGGACGAAACGGCCGTCCAGTGCTTCCAGGTTTTACATGGTGGTCTAACTTCAATTAACTCACAACCTCAACTATTGAAATTACTATTATATTCACAATACTACATAACATATCGTCACTAGTGACTAGCTTCAAGATGTATTTTCTGGAGATCTAGTGAGAAGCAGTGACCAGTGGGTTCCAACCGGATCTTTAGTGAGATAGTAACTCACTAAATTTCGTGGATTAGTTGAAGATAGACTTTTGAAATATATATTTATTACTAAGTTTTTATTCAATGCTTAATTTATTGGAAACTATCAAATTCAGCCATAGTATCTTTACCTACAAACTCATTAATAGGTAATATATGGCGTTGATGAATGATTTAGAGAATTTTTAATGATTCCCTATTTGTTGTATCAATGTAAATGTTATTCGAGTTATGAGTAAATGCAACTAAAGCTAACTAAACGAGGTCTACTACCGAAGTTAGATTATTTGAGTAGACTTTTTGTTTGACATATTATATTCAGAAAGGGTTTTTGTGGAGATTTTATTAATTTAATAGTTGAATTCATGAGTTAATTAAAGCTAGACCACCATGAACAACGTGGAAGCACTGGACGGCGGTTTCATCGTAGTATGGGACTCCTCGACAGTATGCATCCACGATCCTGCCCACAAGATTCGAACCCGGGACCTATCAGTCTTACGCGCGAACGCTTAACCCTCTTGATTATGTTCAGGAACATGTTCATTTTTTGGACAGTTGTTTGTTATAGAAGTTCATTTTATTATATTCACATAGCTTCTTCTAACACTTAGAATCATTGGACATTTGTTGATTAGAATTCTTTATTATTAAATATACAACTCATTCGTAATATAGATCACATTTTGCAAATATACTTATATATGAATACTCAAAATCATGTCTCATTTAGAATAAACGTAGTTTTAAATCTTTCTATTGACGTTTAGAACTGCAATTGATCAGTCTCTCCCTCTTATTAGCATATGTGTATCCTGTGAGGATTGCCTTGGTGTTACTTTAACCCATAATCATTCTAACCAAACATGAATTATACCTAGCAATAGGATATATGTACATCCATTTGACGAGTCCTAAATAGAATGAAACGCATATTTTGGATTCATTCCTAGGTAGCATCCATTATTGATTTGTATCCTTTTTACAATTATGTATTATAGACTTTTCAAAGCTAAACTACAATAGAGAAATTTTTACATTTTTATACCATGGGCTTATCATTTGTCTGATAATCTTGATTATCTAGTCAGCCAAATATGAGAGTAAACATTAAAGGATTTATATCAGAAGGGGTTTTGTGGAGGTTGTTGTAATTTCAATGGTTAAGATCATGAGTCAGTTGAAGCTAGACCACCATAGAAAACCTAGGAGCACTGGAGGGCCGTTTTGTTCTAATATGGGACTCCTCACCAGTTCGCATCCACGACTTCGCCCCCTGCGAGATTCGAACCCAGGTCTGTTGTGAGATAGCAACTCACTGAAGACAATGATGGATGTGTCACTCAATTTTGTGGATTAGTTGAAGTTAGACATTAACACCGTCGAATACCATCCGGCTCA